TATGGAAGGCTTTAAGCTCACTGGCTGGTCAACTCGACTTGTCCTTAACTTGGGTTCCCGGTCACAGAAACATTCTCGGCAACGAAAAGGCAGACGAGTTGGCTAAGTAGGAGCCTCTCTAGACGAATCCGAGGCAGAGACAATACCGCAACCGCTAGGAACGATCAAGAGGGAGCTCAATACGCAATTCGAACAAATAGCGCAAAATAGATGGAAATCCGCAACAAAATGCCGGATAGCTAAACAGATATGGCCAAATTATGACAAGAAAAAAACTATGGACTTAAACCATAGGTCCAGGAAAATTATATACAGACTTACAGCTACCATAACAGGGCACTGGCCTTACTTCCTCTGTGTGTGAACACAATAATAGAACGTGATATCAAGATACCGTGATATAAGAATACCTACCAAGGTATATAAAAGTTTTTTTATTTGTTTGGAAAAAAAGGGTACTTTGTTTTCTTAAAACTGTTTTTTTTTTCTTGCAAAATAATAATATTAACTTATATTTTAGTTTCAAAATATGTTTTGATTTTATTTTTTATCTATTATTTTTTTTAAAAAGCCAATTTCAATTCATTAATATATTTTATGTCCTTATTAGTGGTGTAGGTACAGCCTAATAGATGGAATTGTATGTACTTATTTATGTTTGTGTGCAATTGAGAGCTCGTTTAAGAGATAAATGCGCTTGTTTGTACGCAATCCTGCTTGTTCACTTCAAGGGCTGTTGCGGTTATATTCAAATGTGGACTTTGAAAATGTATATATGTATATAAATATGTACGTATATGTAGTTCACGCAATTATTGAGTACTTTCTGAGAGCTTTTATTTGGTTTTTTTTGTTTTTTTTTCATATTTATTTTACTGATGTTTAAATATGAATATGCGACTTTTATGGTAATACTTTTAGACATTATATAAAATTTTAGTAATTTAATAATACCCAGTTAGTTTTTGTATGTAGGTATATATATATATCTATATAGTAGTACATATAGTGTATAGTGATGTGCGATGAAATGGAGGCAGCACTATAGATATCTTTTAAATGAATATAATTCAAGAAATTGTGTTTTGTTCGTTTTTATTTATTGTTAAAAAAAGAAAAAACACATGTAGTATATTTTAAGTACCAATCGCAACTTGTAAGGATCAAAGCCCGGGAAATTACTTCAGATGTTGGCAATGTTTTATATTAAAGGAAGTATTGATCCGATTCAACCCATTTTTTACACAAAGACATACTATTATCGAGAGTATAAATTATTTATTTTATTATATGAATTTCAATTATATATCTTACCGATATTTTCGGTAAAAAGTCAATTATAGGCATTGGGGTCCACAAATTCAGTACCTAGGTGCAGTTTTAGTTCGGTGTAGACAATTTTTAGTCACAAGGTGGCATACTTTATACGCATCATACACGCAAAGTTTTACCCCGATACAATCATTGTTGCTTGATTTTCATAGTGGAAAGTGAAAAAAACCAGGTGGAATTTAAAATGGTGTTATATGGGAAATAGGCGTGATTGTACTCCGATTCCGCCCATTTTCGCACTATAACATAGAAATATGAGAAATATGTTATGTACCGAATTTGGTTGAAATCGGTTAAGCAGTTCCCAAGATATAGGGTTTCACCTAAAAAGTGGGCGGTGCCACGCCCACAGTCTAATTTTGAACGCACTTCCTATAAAGTCATCTCATATCATCCCAGAGATAAAATTTAATGTCTCTGGCGTGTATAGTGCTTGATTTATCGCGCTTTTAGTAGTTTTTAACAGTACCGTGATATGGCGAATGGACGGGCTTGTCACCCGAATTCATCCATTTTCACACAGTCGATAGAAGTGCTAAAAATATTTGTTCTCAGTGAATTTTGTTATTATAGCTTTAGCCCTATTAGGGGGCAAGACCCCGCCCACTTTAAAAAAAATTTTAAACTGCAGTTGCTTCTCCCTAATCTGCAATACCAACCGTCTTACTGTACCATATATATATTAGGTCAAGTAAAAAAATCGTTTGGTTTTTATCTAAGAGTTGGCGTTATTGTCCATAGTACTGGTGTTACGTGTCGCATCATGTCATACTATACGGCGCTGAAAACGTGTTTATTCGCGCTAAAGTTTAGTTTGTCTTTGACAGTTTTTCGATAGATTGACTCAGTACGTTGTGAGCGCTCGTCAAAGATGGACACCAGCAAAGAGAAAATTCGCTATATTTTACAATTTTTCTTTGATCAAGGCGAAAAAGCAGCCAAAGCGGCTGAAAAAATTAATTAATTGTAGTTTATGGGCCCGATACTGTAAACGAATGTTTAGCACAAAAGTGGTTTGCTAGGTTCCGTTTTGGTAATTTCGATATCAAAGATGCACCACGCGTCGGGAGGCCTGTCGTCGAAAATTGCAATAAAATCATGGAAATAGTGGAAACAGACCGTCACGTGAGCACTTATTTAATTACTGAGGAAAGATAAGCCAGAAAACCGTTTGGAACCATTTGCATAACCTTGGATTCAAAAAGAAGCTCGAACTAACGCAAAAAAACATGATGGACCGAATTTCCATCTGCGAATCGGTGCTGAATCGCAACAAAATCGAGCCGTTTCTGAAGCGGATTGTGACTGACAATGAAAGATGGGTCACTTACGGCAACATCGAGCACAAACGGTCGTGGTCAAAGCTCGGGGAAGCGGCTCAGACGGTGGCCAAGACCGGATTGACGGCCAGGAAGGTTTTGCTGTGTGTTTGGTGGGATTGGCAAGGAATCATCTACTACGAGCTGCTCCCCTATGGCCAAACGCTCAATTCGGCCCTCTACTGCCAAAAACTGGACCGCTTGAAGGCAGCACTCATCCAGAAGAGGCCATCTTTGATCAACAGAGGCCGAATTGTGTTCCATCAATCAAAAATTACAGCTTTCATATCACCGGACACAAATAAATTTAAATAACGTCTTCTGGCTTTATTTCAAAGCACAGCCAAAACGGGACATGCTGATGAGTTTTTAATTTTTTAATTTTGATTTTGACTTAAGACTTTTAATTAGACTTTTATCTTAATATATACTCCATACGTTGTTTCTTTTCTACCAATAAAAAAAATAAACGAAAAAACAAAATTTCTTGAAATATATTGATTTGAAAGATATCTATAGCTATACTGGCTCTATTTCATCGCACATCACTATACGTAACCCTCCATCTAACTCGATTAGTTTTAGGTGATACAACAACCGTGAGGTGAACAAAGCTATTATACTCTGTAGCAACATGTTGCAAGAGTATTAAAATATTTGTTAATCCACAATTTGCGGGTGAGTGCAATAATCACACAACTACTCTAATGGATTATTTGGCACGATTTTTAAAACCTAGTACATTTAACAAATTCTAAACCTTTCATCCATACTTCCGTAGGCGAATGCTATGAAGAAAAATGCTATTAGAATGTAATAGATCGAGGTACACATCGATAAATGTGAAAGAACAAGGCACTTAAAGCGATTGATCTGAAATATATTTGATAATAAAATGACCGTATACTTCAAAAAAAGTTCAATTTGCTTTAGTGTGTTACTGTGTTTGTCGATTTAGTTTATGTGGAACTGCCTCGGTCAAATTTGATCCTTAGTGCATATTATATTCAATTAATTTGACTTGACCGATATATACGGTATAAAGCTCACCGAAAATTTTAAATTTTTATATTAGGTAAGTAAATGTTGCCTTGGGGATGTACTGACGCGACTTTTTGGACATATATCTTGCATAACATCAACCGTGTTAAAAAGTTTTTAAATTGAATATATGTGGACGAGGGGAAGTATTAACGCGATTTTACCAATTTTTGACCCCAGAATACATTATTAAAAGGTTTTCTCTGAATTTCAGTAATATACGTATCTCACAGATTGACCGATATTTTCTGTAAAAAGTCAGTCATAGCCACTGTGGTCCACATATTCAGTTTCTGGGGGCTGCAACAATTGTCATCTGATTTCGACAACTTAGACGAGAGTTCACATACCTAGAAGGTACGATTTGTTCAAAGCTATTTACCGATAACGACGATGTTACATTAAAATACAATATCCAAATAATATTTTGCACCGAATTTGGTAAAATTTGGTCGCGGTGCCAAGCCCATTGTCCAATTTTGCACCTATTGCTTGTAATAGGTGCAGGTTTTTCCTAAATTAATGTTGTCATTCTCTTTTTACTATCATGTTGTGACCAAATTTTCAAAATTTAGTCGGAACGTGCCATGTTTGGTTACTATAAAATATATAATCTGTACATATGTATATCTGTACATATAAGTTCGGCATGATCGGAATCATCGAATGCCTCCTCGAATGCCAAAAATACATATGCAGATTTATGCATGCAATTTGTACTGATTTAACAGTTGTAGTTCTACACCTCAATGCAGATCTGCTTGGCATGTGAAATTTTATTTTTCCGTGCGGAATCAATGCTAAAAACCCATAAAAACCATATTTCTGTGAGCTAAGTCTGGCACCACTATCAGCTGTTCATTGGAATTCTTCAAAAATGGAATAAAAATTAATACAATTCGTCAGCGAAAACAGATTTTGTTTGGTACATGAAACAAAATTTATAAAAACAATTATTTAGGTGACCAAAATTTGTATGAGCTCTCCGAAACATTCAACATTTCAACTTCCATTGTTTTTTAATTTTAACGTATTTTTAAATTGTTTATCTTCAGTAATCATCTGCTTGTCAAACATTACTGTACATTCTGAGAAAAATATTAAGCAAACTAAATGTCTATAGAACAGAAAAATCATATTTTTTACATTTAATAGTAAAATTTATGTCATGTATTGAATACTTGTTTTTCAACTTTCTTATTTACAAATAAAACTTACCAGCTTTTGTTCCATTATATAGAGATTGCAATAAAGAAAATATATAATTATATTATTATTTAGTATTAAAAAGGTAAGAAATAAAAAATGGTAGCATTACTAAGTCAAAAAAAAAAACTAAATATTATTAATAAGTATTGAGTCCTAAGGGTTAAGCGTGCGTAGTGAGTAAGTGTGCGCACTAGGGTGTGCCAAGAAAAATATTTTTTTTCCTTAGATACCTGAAAATATCGTCCGAGAAGACAAAAAAAAAAAACAATTCTGGTAAAGTTTGAACTCTTAATATTAATTTTAAAAGGTGGCACATTGTGATTTTTAATGCCCCATATAAATGACACACGATTATTTTCATATTGCGTTCGGTTGTTTAATGCATTTGAACAAATTATTGTATACTTGTAGTGTAAAGTGTAAAGTGAAAACCTGAAGTTATATTTACATCTACATTATATCATAAAGGTAGCGCTAAAATCGCTGTAGAATAAAGATATTATTTAAAAACAGTAAAAAAAAGTCACTAATTTTATATTTAAATAATAAAATTAATAAAAAACTAAATTTCCAATCTTTCTAATACTTCCAACTATGTATGTTATTATAAAATGCCTTTTTACTACTTTTTTTCAATCTTGCTAAATAAAAAACAAAATTTCTATGTATTTATAGAATAAAAACAACAACAAAAGTTATAAAAATAAATTAGATGTTTTATGCTTTTAAGGCTTTCCTTTACGCAAAAAAAATATAAATAATTGTAAAAATTATCTTCTACTATTTAAGGCTGGACTTTGAACTTTGGGCCTCTTTAGTGCGGAGCCTGTTTATCTACTAAGAGCAAAAGGGAAAGTCGTGATATGCCTAGTGAACTGAAACTGATAATAACAAATACTTATGGTAATTTCTCTACAAGATTGCAACATTGTGTCGTTCATTTATATTTAATAAAAATTAAATAAAGTTCTGCGTTTCAACTATAACTTTTGTCATATTGGCAGTATTCATATTCAAATCGAAGTCAACATATTGACCGAGACAATTAATTTTTTTTAACCTAGTGATTTATTTTAATTACTGTTCTCTATATGCTTAGAAGTCATATTTAATATAAGTAAAGTTATATGAGGATCTATTTCAAATATTGGTCGGGGTCAAGTGTCCGCGGTGGAGGCTGTCTCGCAAAAATAGTGTAACCGCTAAAAATCAAATGCCAATCGTAATAATATAAATTATTTCATAAGGAAAAGGGTTGGTTTAAATACCTCGCAGTATGAACTTATAAATTTAGCAGTTTTGCTTTCGTTCAATATAAACCTTTGCATATTTACCACCATCTTTCAGTGAAATGCAACTGCACTATGTTCAAACAGCAGAATCATACCCATACCTAATTTAATTTCTTGTCGCTTACGTTACTTTCGCAGGCACAAAGAAGTTTGTTTGTCGCTAACGTTGTAATTGTTAGGCTGATATCTCAATTACTATACTATACTGAATTGCCTTTTGAAAGTGTTGGTTTAGATGCGTTTGGTAGTTGTCGACGTAATGTCGCTTACGTTATTTTCGCGAAAAGGGCTCGATAATTTCAGGCACCTGTAATATCATTACTGTAAGCATGATCAATCTAATTACGTCTAAGGATTTTAAGTGCATAGGGGTTGGTCTTTGAATGAAATTATGAAGCCCAAAAACTAAAAATACACGACCATGTCGTTAAATTTATGGAATCAGGGTCTTAACCATATTAATCATGGGTGTTGTGGAAACCAAGACAAATTTGCGTAGTAGTCAGAATTGCAAATCAATTCTAGTTTTCAATGATTGGATTTTCGTCTTTTCGAACATATGCAAAACCAATATTCGAATCCTATTTTCTGATGTGACAAAACTTGCATATGAATAAATTTGGAAGTGTTTGATAAATTTAAAATACTGAATAAAGTTTACTAAAGTTTACAATGCGTTCCGCTATTTTAACTTTCATTTTATTGGAAGAAAAGAGATCACAGTAATCCCCTTGATGCACCAGGGGAGTCGCATGTGAAATTTGGCTTGCATTTACTTGTATGTTTGTATACATGCTTACTTTACAGATTTATATCACATTATCGACTGAATACAGACGCATTTGGGTATTAAATTACGTTTATTACGTTTTGTAAATCCTCGAAAAATATCTGAATTTTTTTCATTAACTCAATAATTGTGGCATTTTGTGATTTATTCTTATGTTTTTCATTACAATTGCAACAATAATATAAATTAATTTCTTAACTTACATTTTAAATCTGTTAGCGACTATCCTCTTACATGTTTCTTACAACAAAACCTATAAAATTATTTTCCGTGACGTTTCGAACGTCAAATCAATAATAAATGAATTCATGACACCTACTACATTTTTTATCGGTTTCAATTCCGATTCCAACAACTATCGGAATGTGTTTTTTGGACAGATTATCATTTAGATGATAGAGTCAAACCGAATAATATAAAGATCATGCAAGGTTTTCCAAATAAAAACTCGGAGATTGTAAAGTTAAATGTAGATTTATTAACAATTTCATGGGAAAGTTCGAACAACGCCCACTTTTACATTTTTATACACTGTACAGGAGTTTGTAGAAGCAAATGTCGGGTGAACCTATAAAATATACATTAGCGTCGATTTAGCCATGTCCGTCTGTGTATATGCGAACTAATAACTCAGTTTATGAGATATCGGTCTGAAATTTTCCCCCAAAGAAGCTGTTTATTTGTCAGAACCGCTGATATCGGATCACTATAGCATTTAGCTGGCATACAAAATGAACTATCAAAAGCAAGGTCTTGGATGGAAAACGAACGATTTCATTTAAGTGAATTATATAAATTTATCTAAACCAAAAATAGTTATTTATGAATACTTTATTAACGTATTTTTAGATAATGATTACTGCATTTCCTACATTTTTTGGTGTGAAATGATTTTAAAAAATTTACACTGCCTACTGTGTGCCTAAACCCTGCTTTCTTATGATACTTGAAAAGAAGCTAAATACTGCTAATATTAAAGTTTCGCTCATGAGGAATATTGTATTAATAGAATTAAATACCTTAATACTAGAATTGTCTGAAGATACTACGGACTCAAAAAGAATAAAGAGACATAAGATACAAATGTTAAAAATATGTTATATGTCAGGAATTGGACAAAATGTGATAGTTTATAAACACGCAGTCACTATGGCTGTGGAATAAAATTGTCGATACAAATGGTTTTGTCCATAAAAGGTTTTTCGCTTATTTCTTTATTTTTTAGTATAACTTTTAACAACCTTTTTTCAATAATTTGCGTGTACAAAGTACAGAATAAAAAACTCTTTATCAAGTTTGCTGATAAGAGTAGCGTATAACTTGATACGGAATTCGCTATATCATGCAATGCTTTTATGTTTAAGATTATTTAAACGCAATGAAAAAAAAATGTTTTGAAGCCCATTACTTTTTGTATAGAACAAATTCTTAGTCTGAAACGTTTAAATATTATGGGACTCGTATTTCTAGAACTCGCGTTCTGTGGAACAACCTTACATTTATTTTTTTACCATCAAATTATTTGCGATGAGGCATATTTCTGTCATAATGGATACGCACGTAATAAAGTCATCCTGGCTAATTTTGAGTGCGAACAATCCTGAAAAATTTCTCCAGGCTCCCCTACATTCAGAAGAAGCTAGCGTTTTGTTTTTAAATGTGAGGTTTCAAAGTAAATGATTCGCGACTTTTTCACTCTCATGGCGATATGAATATTGTCCGGTGAAAATCTGCAAACTAATAAAGCGAAATAATCAGATGTAAGTCTAAGCAAAGTAAGTAAACGACGGAAATACTAAATAAATACCATTTCAACCATTTTCCATTATTCAGTAAGTTATAATAAAAACATTAAACTTTTATTTGGACCGTGATAAACCATTGCCACAATTTTCTCCACTTTATCCTACAAAAAGTTCCAATATTCAAGAACTGAGTTTGAAAAGCAAAGTTTTAAACAATGTTGTCCTAACGTTCGCAGCCGACCAGTCATTACTAAATTTGATCAAATAGTGTTTAAGATATTAATCGCAAAACAGTTAACTTTAATATGAAACTAACACATGACTAAATTTGATCAAATAGTGTTTAAGATATTAATCTCAAAACAGTTAACTTCAATATGAAACTAACAGTAAAACCAAGCCTTTGTAATTGTTAGATGCATTTCTTATTAGGAAAAAGCTTTCGAAGCTATACATCGAACCTAGAATATTCCCACAAACATCATAAACAAATTTTTCTTATTAGATAGATGTTGCATCTTGGCTGGTAAACTGCGGAGTGTATTTCTCCCTTACAAAAAGTGTTACTTAAACTCACAAATTGTTAGATTAGGTTATATTCGATGGATGATCCTATATGTGCGCCATTAGGCCAATACAAATTTCCCACCTGCTCAGTATCATATCTAAACGTGTCAGCTCCCAAGTGTTTCAAACCTAGATCTTGCAACCTATTCCGCGGTTCAAGGCAATTGTAGTCGGCTTAAAACTTGCAGATTTCCCCACATCTCGTATATCATTAACCTGTACATGACAAAATGGCAGAAGAAAATGGACCAAGCTTTTAATAGACTTGTAGGCGCTAATTATATGTACATACGGTAATTATATGTACTTATACCATCTAATCAAATTTCACTCAGACTGGTCCATTTAAACTGCGCGCGTAAATCGAATCGATATAATTTTTTTCCTAGATTGGCACAACCAATCCGTGTGAAGTTTGACTGCATATGCCATTTAGTGTATGTTGGCAGCTGCTTGTTAACACGCAAAAAGTTTATTTGAAGACTTTTACCACGGCTGTTTTTTACGAACGAGTTTTCATGAAAAAAAATTTTTTTTCCAATGGATTCAAGTTTACGAATAGTTAAAAATGTGAAAGAAGTATTTTGGGGAGTCTACTTTATCACGAATACGTCTTTGTGACGAAGCATTGAGTGAAGGTTGTGAAATCATCGGAAACTTGTATCGTGCCAGTCGTTCTACAATCTCAGTTATTGACGATAACATCGACTAAATCGACCGGTCCTAAACTATGCATCACCAATATGGTCGCCTGGATGTAGTGCAACGCAGACGAAGAAGCTTCAGAGTTGTCAGAACACTGCACTCCGGACTATCACGGGATGCCTCTTGATGCCCCCAATAGAACACCTACATAGTGAGGTCCGTATGCTTCCGGTGAATTAACATAACGAGCTCCTCTCCAAGCAGTTTCTGTTGGGATGTTTTCGTAGAAATCACCTCTGCAGTCGTCTGCTGGAAGCGGAACCGCCTCCTAGGAACATCAAGAGGTCCTTCCTTGATTGCGTATACGTCAGACAGTACGCCGACCGGACTTCGGACGCAACGAACTGTAGGTAAGCACTGACCGCCATTCACAGTGGAGCCATCAACACCTTCATCGACTCCTTCTCAGTGAATGGAGTACTAGGAGTCAAACCACCACCCATAGCAGACGTAGAGCTCGAGTTGTGAGAATGCGAGTAGAGGTCGCTGAAGAAACATTTAACAACGTAACTGAGGATCCGACATTCATAAAACGCATTATTACTGGTGACCAGAACGTGAATTTATGAATATAGATTCGAAACTGTTCAATAATCTAGCGAATAAAATTCGCTGAAGGCATTGAGAACCATCGTAGCCGAGGCTTATGAGTAGTGTATAGAAAATTGGATTAATCGGTGACATTACATTGCATTTGAAAATGATCCCTTTTTTGACGGAAATAATAAAGATTTGTATAATTTTTTGCAATAATTATATTTTAAAACAATCAACGACAGCTGAACGATATGTTGTGTACATATGAAAACAGAGAAACTCCTTTCGCTCGCGGACTGAGGCGTGAGCATAGATTCCAAGTAGACACCACATCATGTCACATTCCTCTA